TTTTTTAAATCTGTTTCTGGCTCGTAAATATACTTTCATTACGTTTGAAGTTCAGAAATAGTTTTTTCATAGCTTAGAATTTTGAAGAATAACTTAAGTTTGCTTTCTAAAGAATTAATCTATTCAAAAGACCTTAAACCCTGAATCTAGATTTTTTTTTATCTTTTCCAAAAGTACAAAAATTCAAAAATTAAGTTCCAGTAATGAGAGACAAACCGGAAAAACAATTAATGAAGAAACATCACATTTTCGTAAAATTTTAATTTTTCATGCCCAAGATTGCGAAAAATGGCAAAGGTCACGTCATTTGTTTTTTTTTTATTCAAGAATTAAATTTTTATGAAGTATTCGTTGTAAAATGTTACGCTCGATGTATCATTTTTTCAAATTTATCTAATCAAACCAAATTTCAACTTTATTTGCCAGATTAAAGGAAATTGAATTCGCTAGCTGTTGCTCGAACCTACAGTACTGGACAAAATAAATCATACGCTCAACCCAAAAAAGTACATTACTTCATATTTTTGCTATTTTGCACGCAATTTCAGCAGTATATTCAGAAAAGTTCAAGTATTTCTCATGGTGCATTCAATTAGCTGAATGAAAATTTCTGCTATTTTATTTTTGTTACAAATTTAAATAAATATATGCTCACTTTTGTGATTGGACAAAATAAATCATACACTCCTAAGATTTTTTTTAGCCATCGAATAAAAACAAAATCTGAAGATTTGGCATCATGGCGTAATATTTGACAGTTCTTGTTCCGGGAAGCGTGCGCATCGCACCATTGTGTTTTGTTTGCGTCATTTGAAAAGTGAAAAATGTTGGGGAAGCAGATTTCGCTCGATGTTAGAAATTTGGTGATTCTTTTCGGAAAATTGCCGAAAAGTACTCGATACCAGTTGGAGCTGTTCAGCACATATGGAAAAACTACGAAACACAAGCAATTGTGAGGAATTTATCCGGACAAGGACGTCATCGTGCGAGAAGTAATCGTGATGACATCATAATTGTTCGAATGGCTAAGCAGAATCCGAAGTATTCGTCGAGGCATATTGTGGAATCGATGGATCTCAATGTAAGTCGACGTACTGTTCGCCGACGACTTAATGAGACCGGTTTGAAAAGCTGTTTGGCATCGAAGCGTCCTTTTATCAACAAGCGGAACCAACGGAAGCGACTGGAATTTGGTAAAAAGTACGCCGGAATGACTGTGGACTGCTGGAAACGAGTTCTGTGGACGGATGAGAGCAAATTTGAGTTATTTGGACAGAAAAGGCGATCAAGGGTTTGGCGAGGTTCCGGTGACGCTCTTAAGGAACCATACATTCAAAAGACGATTAAACACGGAGGCGGAAATATCATGGTATGGGGAGCACTTGCGTGGTCTGGGTGTTGGAAGCTTGGCTCATATAAAGGGAATAATGACTGCAGATGTGTACATTGACTTGTTAAGTGAAATTCTGGAAGTTTCGCTACTGAAAACTGGCCTGGAATCCAATTACATTTTCCAACCACATAATGACCCAAAGCACACAGCGAAGAAAACAACGGCATTTTCAAATCAAATCGGATCAAAACGCTTCCCAATCTCCCGATCTCAACCCAATTGAGAATTTGTGGTCTTACTTGGACAACAAAGTGGATAAAGCATCGGTTTCCAACAAAAAACGTTTATTTTGAAGCACTTGAAGGAGAATATCGATTCAGGATATCTACAAAACCTCGTCGAAAGTATGCCAAGACGGTTGGAAGCAGTGTTGAAAGCAAAGGGTGGTCATACCAAATACTGAGAGTGTTAAAATGTAATTTGAAAGTTGAATTAAACAAGAATTTTCAATCAGAAATCAGGCGTATGATTTATTTTGCCCAACTCGAAATTCTCCTTTTACAACTTATAAATGATGATTGAGAAAGTCATGCAATATATTGAATATTCTATACCTGCACAGTTTAAGCAAAAAACATACAGAAGTATTGCAGAACAAACCATTATTGTATGTTTGAATCTACCTGATATATCGAGCTCCAAAGAAAAATTATATGGGTGTATGATTTATTTTGTCCAGTACAGTATAAAAAGGGTGATACGGTCAAAATTTGGTCAAGGGAAAACGCGTGTAAATCGGTGAAATCGTTTATTTAAAAAATCAAAGTAAATTTCTTTTTCAAGTTCAATTAGTATACAATTCAGGAAAAATATTCAGTTAGGCTTCCGCTTTTCCAAATCCGAATTGCCGGGCCTTACGCTTGACCCCTGCCATCAGATTTTGTACAGCCAACTTGTCCACCTTCTTCGCCGCAGAAAGCCAGTTTGCCTTGAACTGCTGCTCGCCCTTAGCAGTTTTTTTGGTCTTCTTTAGGTTCCGCTTGACAATAGCCCAGTATTTCTCAATTGGGCGGAGCTCTGGCGTGTTGGGAGGGTTCTTGTCCTTGGGAACCACCTGCACGTTGTTGGCGGCGTACCACTCCATGGCCTTTTTACCGTAATGGCAAGATGCCAAATCCGGCCAAAACAGTACGGAACAACCGTGTTTCTTCAGGAAAGGCAGCAGACGTTTATTCAAACACTCTTTCACGTAAATTTCTTGGTTGACAGTCCCGGAAGCTATGAAAATGCTGCTTTTCAAGCCACAGGTACAGATGGCTTTCCAAACCAGATATTTCTTCTTTGACAGTTTCATGTGCTTGAAAACATCTGCTAACTTTCCCCTTCCTTTTGCCGTATAAAACTCCTGTCCCGGAAGCTGCTTGTAGTCGGCTTTGACGTAGGTTTCGTCGTCCATTACCACGCAGTCAAACTTCGTCAGCATCGTCGTGTACAGCCTCCGGGATCGCGCTTTGGCCGTCGTATTTTGTTTATCATCGCGATTTGGAGTCACTACCTTCTTGTAAGTCGATAGTCCGGCTCGTTTTTTGGCTCGATGCACGGTTGTAGACGATACACCCAGCTTATTTGCGGCATCTCGGAGAGAGAGGTTAGGGTTTCGCTTGAAACTACCGGCAACTCTCTTTGTCGTCTCAGCGGCTTCCAGTTTTCGATTTCCCCCCGATTCAGACTTCCTGGCTGTCGACAAACGTTCCCCAAACACTTTAATTACATTTGTAACGGTTGATTTGGCAACTTTTAGCGATTTTGCCAACTTTGCGTGCGAGTAGCTCGGATTTTCGCGATGCGCGAGCAAAATTTTGATACGCTGCTCTTCTTGCTTGGACGGCATTTTGACAACTGAAGAGTGAATTCCAAAATCAAAATAGGAGCAACATTCTACACACACACACCTTCAAAATGAGGGGTGTTCAGGTTTTTTAAATGCAAAATTGAAAGAAATACGTCAAGTTGATATTGACCAAATTTTGACCGTATCACCCTTTACTTAAGTATAATCAGTATTTTTTGTGAAAATTTTGGGATGGTTTCATGTGTATTTCTTTATTTGCAATCGTGCTCATATGTTTTATCAACTTTATTATATCTTGTCACAACACATAACTTTTATTTGGATGTTTGGTAGAATTACATAGAATATTGTTTATCTCTGATATTACGCTAGTCAAATGTCAAAATATCCAGTTGACTCTTCGACTCACAAACTGTAATCAATCAGCTTGTGGGTTGTTAAAACGGCTTGTTTGCCTATTCGACAAATTAAAAAAAAAATAGTACCTGTCACCATGTGATATGGTTAATTAAATAATAAGAATGAAAAACTAATGTCCCTTCTAAGCAATCAGGCATCAGAATATCTAAGCATCAGAAGTCCGTTCAAAATTAACGATGATAATAAAATAAAAATTGAAAAATTGGTATTTGGTTAGTTGCTTGTACCTACTCAAAAGGAAGAAAGGATTTTTTTTTATGGATTTTAAATAATACAATCCAGAGTTAAACAGTAAGTAGAATTATTTGAAAAATCTGTATATTTATAAAAATCTGTAATCTGTAAATACAGATAGATATCTCAATTTTTTTAGAAAAATCTGTATCATTACAGATAAATCGGTATATGTGTCAAGGCTTCCCGCAATAGGCACCATGGCTAGACCGCCGTCATCCGGTCGGCATGGTGTGGCCACCATTTGAAAAACAACCGGCCCTTTTCAGGGCCACCAATTCAAAGAGAGTTAAGAACTAAATGAGCAACATATTTGTTCCGTCCACTAGCGGTCCTACGTCAAGCCTCCGTTCGTGTCCCTAGGCACAGACTCTTCTCCTTTTTTTACGGGTAGGCTGTCCCAATTGGCGAGTTAAATTTAACTTGTGGTTAAAAGTGACCAATGGAAAGTTATCGAATAACCCTGCTATCCGAGCGTGGTTATTTCTGACAGACAAGAAGTTAAATTTTGACAACCGTGGGTAAGTTCTGCTCGAAAACCGATCGAGAGATTTTCGAACATGGAAAATAGCTTTCGAAATGTCACTTTTAACCACGAGTTAAATTTAACTCGGCAAATAGTTCAGAGTCTTAAAATAGGATGTTTCCGGTCACCAATCGATTTTTTTCATTTCAAGACCAACAATTAAAATGCCCTTAACTCCATTTTGTAAACAAACCTTGTAAGGCCATTTTCTCGCGAACTGAAGTCCGCAAAGGCAAACCAACATAATGAACAGGTAGGCGAAATTCTCCTCTACCCGATTGTGGTTTAGGTTTGCGAATGAAGGTTTCGGTTCACGAGAAAATGGCCTTACAAGGTTTGTTTACAAAATGGAGTTAAGGCCATTTCAATTGTTGGTCTTGATTTGCCGGTTAAAATTGCACATCCAATTCGTGGACATTTATTTTAGTGTATCGCAGTTTCTGCTTAAGAGAAACTGCGACAACCCGGGGATATTTTGCAATTCCGAACTACGACTGATGAAATCTGGTCACACTAAGCTCCCATACATAACCCCTTGATAATTATCGTTACTAAACCGCGGTGAATCTGATAATTTCTATCTGCTAAGCATTATGTCTCTTTCTCTCTCTCTCTCTCTATTCCCTATCTTACAGGTACTACACGACAATGCCAAGGCCAGACGCGAGGTGGAACTGCACTGGCGGGCGAGCGGTTGCCGGAACATTGTTAATATCATCGACGTGTACGAGAATAGCTACAGTGGCAACCGGTGCCTGCTGGTCGTCATGGAATGGTAATAAGACTGATTTTCACCCTCCTTGTGTACCATCATTTCACTATCTAGATTTGAGTGTGCGCCGCGATGTAACTACCTATTAATTTGTTGGCCTGGTGGGTTATTTCTGTTACTATGTGCCCTTCAGCTTCAGTCTATGCATGCTCACTAGGGTGGGCCAACTGCTCTTTCGATTCGTATTGAGGTCCCCAACAACTGTACCAAATTTGAACGAATTTGGTTACGATCTGGATTTGCGGGAGAGCTTTATAATTTGTGTGGGAAACGGTCTAAAACTGTTCAATTGCTTGTCAAAAATTCAAAAATCGCTAAATTTTTACCAAACATGGGACTTTTAATTATTAGTTTTTATTTATGATAATGTGTTCCGCGCATATCTACTACCCCAGTACATTTAAGCTTGTAGATATTCGGGGAGCACCAGGACGACAGTAATCAATGTTTAGCACAGAAGTCGAATCGATTCGCCCTCTTTGACAAAGTGGTTCTGTATAGTTTTCTCAATCTTACACACTAAGATTATTTTACAGATTTCGGTAAAATTTTACCGAAATCTCAACAGCTGAACGTTCGGTAAATAATTTTACAGTTTTCCTGTAATTATTTACAGATATTTGTGAAAAATTACAGGAAATCTGCGAAACTGTTTACCAAACGTTCAGCTGTAAAACAGATTTCTGTAAAAATTTCTAAGTGTATAGTCTCAGGTTTGGTGAACAATGAGCAATTTTTGAAATTTTGTCAAGCAAATGAATAGTTTTGTTCCGTTTCCCATACATTTTCCCATACACATTTTAAAGCTCTCCCGTCAATCCAGATCGCAACCGAATGCATTCAAATTTGGCACAGTGGCTGGGTATCCCGATACGAATCGAAAGAGCTATGGGGAGCCGGGGGTTGTTATCCGTCATATAAAGTTGACCCACCCTACTGTCCACATATTTAATTTCATTATCCCCCAATCCAAAGAAGATTCCGAGGTGGTCGTTGCTTTTCTTCCCTGATTGGGCATGTGTGTGTGTGTGTACACGTAATCTTGGCATGATCGATAAAAATTACCGCTTTTTGCAAATGAGAGGAAAAAGTTCAGAAATGTGTAAGGAAATTTTCGTATTTTTGAGACCAAGTCTTCGTCTTTTAGTTGATTGAGAGGGAATTACCAGATGGAGGTTGACAACATTTGAACAGCATGGGAACTGTTCAACACACCACTGTTTCAAATGTACAGTCATTTATACCTAGCCAGATATTGGAAAGCCGTTCCTCAAACGTGTAGAATTGGTGTTATATATTATGCTAATGTTATTTATATGCCCATACATTATCGTACAACTAAGGTATATTAGAAGCGCTATGAGGTATTAAGGTCGCTTCAAGTGTTGGAATAATTTCTTAACGATTAAAAGAAAAGCCTTTCTGAATTTATCATAATAGTCGACGTATTATTTTGCTTGCAATGTTGAATTATGTTACGGTGCCATTACCTTCAAGGTTGATGGAAACAACATAACCATTACATGTAGACGCAGATCAGTGTATCGTTTGCCTTCTGACGATAATAGGTAAAGGTATTGCCATTATTTCCCCTTTTCCGCGCGGGGCGAATTAACATATTCATCGAACGTAACGATCCTTGAACTCTCGGGGACAATTTCGTTTGTTATTCCGGTTAGGGTAGGTTTACCAGTAAATAACAGTGGTGTACCTTAAAACTTGCCACCCTTAAAAATATGCTAAGATTATCTTGAAAAAAGCATCCAAAAATATGTTTCCCTGTTACTCCTGTAATTTTTCTATAAATTTCACAAAGGTGAGCTTCGAGTTACAAGTGCTTGTTGGTAATTTTCTCTTGATTCATAACTTATCCTCGTACTGTACTGTTAGTTTATTCGATTAACTAGACTTCTACAGTGGAATTTTCGATCATCACCAGGTATTTATCATATTAATACTTATTTTTTACAATGTGATCAACAAATGATATCTATGTAGGTATGTGGCGGACACATACCTAATATGTTTACATATAAAAGCCATGTGTGACCACACCTCCCGAGCAAAGTCTGAGATCAAATAGAAATCTAAATTTGATGTTGTGATTTCACTGATAATGATTACTCAGGTTGTTGTCGTTTTGGTCGTGTTAATGGTTAAAATATCAAAATTGAGAGCAAACATATCATCCTGTGACATCACATAGAAAACAATTTCTGCTATCAGTGAGATCAAACTGAAAACCAAATTTGCTATCCATTTTTCCTGTTGATAACAAAACAAGTATTCAATTTGATGTTATGCTAAGGCAATGAAAACAAACCCGTAACAACATATTTTTAAAGAGCAAATGTACAGCAAAATGAAATCTAAATTTGGTATCAAATTTGTCAATGTGTAAACTGAAATCAAATTATGATTTCAGTTTGATGTTGATATCAATACATGATTTCAATTTGCTGTCATTTTGATGCTGAACTTTGCTCGGGCTACTACTCATTTGACACATACATTTCATGTGTACTTCTGAGTTGATTCTGTTTATGTGTGGCCACATTAAAATCATGTAGATTTTCACACGGAAATTCGTTAAATAAAATTTGTGGAATTTTTTCACTGTATGTTCGACAACGCAGATCGTTAAATTATTTTTAAATAAATAAATTCTGTGCCAACATTTCAAAGGGGCGTAATTGCTTTTGTAAACAATAGCTTTAGCCGTCGATTTCTCGCAACTAAAAGCTCGCCTCTCAAAATTAATAAAGCTAGCTGGTAGAGGTCATTTTTCGTGAGTGAGCTTTTTTTTCGAGAGAAATCAATGGCTAAAGGTATTGTTTACAAATGCAATTACGCTCCTTTGAAATGTTGGCACTGTATTAGTTCCATCCTATTATTTTTACCTTTGAGGTTGCTAGCTGCAATGAGTGTCTAGCCTCCAGCTGCTACCTACAGTTTTATGCATTGTCAGTATTACTATTACTAACATTTTAGAGCTCCATAAAAAAAAAGATTGCAGGTGCGATGCACCAACAGAAAAAAAAATGTGCACGTGACAGTAACACATGGCAATGTTGCGCAAAAAAGTGCAGGGGAAATTCCTTCTATAATGTTTATGACCGTAAATTACTTACATCAATTTTTTCTACTTTGTTGTAACATTGCAGTATGGAAGGAGGTGAACTATTCCAACGAATTCAGGAACGACAGGATGGACCCTTTACAGAGAGAGGTAAGTTCTATGATGGATTTAGAGGGCTAGTAAAATATTAAAATGAAAGACAACAACTAGGAAGTACAAGCATGTTTCATATTATTAACACCGATGTATGTTTCGAATACTAAGGACTGAGGACAAAGATAATGATTTCGCCTAATACTAAAACAACCGAATGGAACTTTCAGTAGGCAGAAAGAATGTTTAGCTCGAATCACATGAAACAAAATTAATACATTCTTTACAATTGACCAGTTCACTTGTGTTTCATGTACTCTCATTTTCATGCATGGAAGTACTCCTGCTTCGAACGCATAAATGGTATGATTAATAGTTCAGAAATGTTCAGGGTGTTTCCAACTCGTATATAAATACATACACACTCACACGAAACCTATAAGCGCAGGGCAACTCTGCGAAATATTTTACTGTTTGTTTGTAACTCTATACCTTCCCACAAAGTTCTTCCCACCAGCAGCTATCGCAATTTATTATACGTAGTTTAGACATTCCGATGTACTTACCTTTTCCATACGAAAATAAGCATTATATTTTTTTTCTTATTGATGTTTTTCTTCCTCTCTTTCTCTTTTCTTTTTCCATACCTTTACCCGACCTGTGACCTGTGTGCTTCCATTTGTCGAAAAACGTTACTCATCCATCACATGTGCCATGTGCAACCCACCAACATTTCCCTCTCCACCCTATATTGCGCTCATTTCAACCTGTTGCCATGTGAACCGAACCGAACCGTTGACTCTCACTACCTCGCGAACACGCACACTATCGCAAAACCCAAAACAGAGGCTGCCCAAATTATGCATGAAATCAGTGTCGCTGTCAAGTACTTGCACGATTCCAATATCGCACACCGGGACCTCAAGCCGGAGAATCTGCTGTACACCTCGCCCCACCCGAACGCGATACTGAAACTGACCGATTTTGGCTTCTCGAAGGAAACTTTCGTCAAGGACACATTGCAGACGCCCTGCTACACGCCGTACTACGTCGCACCGGAAGTGCTGGGACCGGAGAAGTACGACAAGAGCTGTGATATCTGGTCGCTCGGGGTGATCATGTACATTCTGTGAGTATCGAAGCATTAGTAATTGCCATTACATGTTGCCGTGCAGTCAAATTACATTTTCAAGATTGCTACTTAAGATAATCACTAACACTTAAGGTTCAATCAATTGTGGATGGTTTGGGTATACCATAACGGGGAATGTGTGTTTGTTTTTTTTTTTTTTTAATTTAAGAAACCTCCTCCTCCAACGATGATGTGCTTTTGAGACGAATCTTAACTACGTAATTTGTCGTTTCCTAATTATTGTCATTTCGTGATCAAAAATCAAGGCTATTATTTGTTCAGTACGGACGGAGGTATGTCTTCCTCTTAACGTTTGTCTTGAATTCGAACCACCTACGATATTGTGCAACTTGGTCTATACTAGGTTATGCTTAAAATCATAATGCATAATTTATCTTTGATGCAGACAACTTCTTGAAATTGACTTATCTGTTTACTTCTCTACCAGAGCGATAAAATTATTGGCAGCTTAGGCTGTACCAAACGGTAAAGGATAAGACACTAAAAGAGCCAACAAAACATTCAGTCACTCACGAACAGACGACTTACACTTAGATGGATAGATGTAAAGGTGGTCAAGAACTCACGGTCCGAGATGGGAAATGACAGGTGGGCAGGAACTCACAGTCTCCCAGTGTTGGTGAGTTCTTTGCCGTTGTTGCTAACACTGCCAGTCCGAACTTTTCTACTCGGGTATCGCAGTCGTCGCGCCGTCAACCGTCAGGCCACCCCTGAGCGTAACCATAGCAACAAAATAACGATCGGGGCAAGCGGGTGTGAGAAAATAGTAAAAAATTTGTTCAGAGTGAAAAAGTTAGTTGACTTGTCTCCAAGTTTGTAAGAAGTTTTCCCCAATAAATTAAAAAAAAATAGTTAATCTCGTTGAAATTATTGTCCAAAAAGGTGGTCAGTTCTGAACTGAAATTCCTTCCCCAACAAATAGCCTGGACACGAACTTCTCTCGACAGGTGAGAAAACACCCGGCCGTCAACGACCAGGACGATTCTTACATTTTGGTCCTTCTCTCGACAGGTGAGAAAACACCCGGCCGTCAACGACCAGGACGATTCTTACATTTTGGTTCTTCGAATGTCAAACGACAGTTTATATGGAACCGCAGTTACGCCGCTCCAATAGAGAAACTCGGGGCGCAGTACCGAGACGATTCGAAAACTTTCTCGTGGGCCTTCCACGTCATTCGAACATGTATCGAACTCCTCCAGTCAACAGCAATTCGCAAGATCAATCGAACCTGCAATCCAGGAACGATGAGTCCGTTCTAGCTTCAAATGAAAATCGCACGGATAAGGTATATGTCACTAGTTCCCGTGGTTCAAATGGAGCGCCCTCGTCTGATCGACGTTCAAGTAGAAGCCGGTCTTTCAAAATCAGCGAAGCTGATAGCCAACTCAGAGCCCTGTTGTTGGAGGAGCAGATTGAGGAAGAAGAACTAAAGGCTTCAATCGAACGAGACAGGATCCTGGCTGAAAAGCAACTGGCTGCGTTGCAGATTCAACAAGATCTAGCGCTGAAGACGGAACAGAGGAAAGTGGAATTCCTAAAGCGAAAGCATGAACGCGAATCGAAGAAGAATGAACTGAGGTCTGGTTCAAGTCACGACTCGAGCATCTCCAGCAGATCGAGTGCGTGAACCAGTACATCGAGACGTGTTTGCAAATGGCTGTCTGAATCAGATAAAATGAAGACAGATAATGGAAACATTGAGCCGTCTAACCAATTGGCCCGACCATTATTTCACGAACCTGGAGCTAGAAATCATGTAACTGCTCCTGAGCCAGGAGTGAATGAAATCTTGTCTCAGGCTTTCAAGGCGTTGCAGAGTCGAAACGTAAAAGACCTGCCTTCGTTTTCTGGTGACGTAATGGAGTGGACGATTTTTGAGAGCGAATTCAAAACGTCCACTGAAGAGTTTAAGCTGACCGATCGCGATAACCTGAGGCGGTTGAATAAGTCGCTGCAAGGTAAAGCGCGCAAGACCGTGGAATCATTGCTTTCATCTCCTGATAATGTACAGCAGATCATGAGGATGCTGAAATCTAACTTTGGACGCACGGAATGGGTGGTGGCGAATAGATTGGAAACACTGAGAAACCTGGAGAGCATCAAGGAGGGAAACATCGAGTCCTTTCGTGTTTTCTACAACGCGGTGATTGGAACCAAGGTTGCGATGCAGAATGTCAAGGCGGATAATTACTTGATGAATCCGGAACTCATCTCACACCTGACTGAAAAACTGCCTGCATTCAGCAAGCAGATGTGGGTTCGACACAAGGCCGCTTTGATGAAGGAAGATGTCGTAATCGACTTCAACATTTTTTCTCGCTGGTTGGAGGATGAGATGGACAATCAACTCGCAAGTCTAAATCCTGTCTTCAGTGCCAAGAAATCAAACTTCTCACTGAAGCCGAAGCAGATTGTTCTCAACGTCAACAGTCGTGAGGCGGAAGAGACAGCGAAGTGTCCGCTATGCTCGTCAAGATCGCATGCTAGTTTGGAGAAGTGCGAGCAATTCCGCAAGTTATCTGTTGCTCAACGTCGGTCTGCTGCTAATTCTTGCAAGGTCTGCTACACCTGTCTGAGCGCGGATCACACAAGAAGAAACTGTAAATCCAAGAAGAAGTGTTCGATCTGTGAGAAGAATCATCACGAACTGGTCCATAATGATGAACTTCCAATGACCACCGCGTCTCGCCGACCGGATACTCAAGACAGTCAGATGAACGTATGTAACGTGAACGGTAAAAACGTCAACACACTGCTCCGAGTGGGAAAAGTGAAGATTCGTGGTCCGAATGCCGTCGAGGAAGTGTTTGCCCTTTTGATGAAGGCTCTTCTCTCTCGATGATGGATGCTGCTGTAGCGACGAGGATTGGAATGCAAGGGCCGATCTCTTCCGTGAATTATAGATGGACTAACGGCATTTCACACAAGGAGGAACATTCCATGATGTTATCTTTCCAAATCTCTGGACCGTCGGAACAAGCGAAATGGTTCGTGGCAAACAATATTCGCACGGTGCAGAACATCGACTTGCCACGGGTTAAATTTGACGTTGACAGAGTAAAGCTGTTGTACCCGATGTTGGATGAGGATAAACTGGCTGCGATACAAGATGCTCGTCCCTGTATGCTGATTGGTTCGAACAACGCTGGTCTGATTGTACCCCTGAAGACGGTGCAATACTCACTGAACGGTTTGCAGTTGACTCGGTGCCATCTGGGTTGGACGATTCACGGAGTAATTGAACCGAACGCTGCTGGATCAAACGATCATCATGCTTTCCTGATGTGTTCTGAAGACGATGACACCGAGCTAACGGATCTGGTGAAGCAGATGTACAAGGTGGAAGACTTTGGCATCACTGGTCAGTCCCCGAAGATACCAGACGAAGATCAACGTGCACTGGATATTATGAACCGTACAATCACGCGACGAGGAGAACGCTTTGAGGTAGGACAGATCTACAAGTACAATAACTTCGCATTTCCGGATAGCAAGCCACATGCACTGCGTCGACTTCAAATCACCGAGAAGAAGATGGATTCCGATCCTGATTTCGCTGAGAAATACTGTAGTAAGATCCAGGACTACGTGGAGAAGGGATATGCTCGAAAACTGGAGCCTGAAGAACTTGCTGAAACACCGAACACCTGGTATTTGCCTCACTTCAGCGTGGTAACTGCCGATAAGTTCCGATTGGTTATGGACGCCAAGGCCAAATCTCACGGATTTTCGTTGAACGATCTGCTACTGAAAGGTCCTGATTTCGTTCCCGCATTGATTGCGATTCTGATGCGCGCTAGGAAGAAGAAGATTGCTTTTGTGGCAGACATTATAGAGATGTTCCATCAAGTCATCATTCGTAGATTGGATCAGGACTCCCAGCGTTTCTTCTTCCGTGGTATGGATCGCTCTAGCCCTCCCAGCGTATACATTATGATGGTGATGATATTTGGCGCTGTGTCTTCTCCTTCGATGGCACAATTCATCAAAAACTTCAATGCAATGGAACTGGAAGAAAAGTACCCTGGCGTTGAACGAGCTGTGCTGGAACAACACTACGTCGATGACTATTTTGATTGCGTGGACACGGAGGAAGAAGCCATTGAACTGGTGCAGCGAGTGGTGAAGGCACATGATCACGGAGGATTCAAACTGGTGAAATTTGCATCGAACTCTGAAACTCTTCTGGATTCGCTTGACCCTTCTTTAGTAGCCGAGAAGAAAGGAAGTGACACTCGTGTACTCGGTATCAGGTGGGATCTTCTTTCAGATGAATTTGTGTTCCCGTTGGATTTTCCAAAACTGGATGAGAACTTCCGTACTGGTGGCACGGTGCCTACCAAACGGCAGCTGCTGAAGTTTATGATGAGCATCTTCGATCCATTGTGTTTACTCAGTCCGATTACGATACACCTGAAGATTATGTTCCAAGAACTGTGGCGGTTGCAATCCGGATGGGACGACGAAATTCCTGATAGCCTGGTCCCGAAATGGATGGAGTGGTTGAGCGAAACTGCTAAGCTGGAAGAAATACGTGTTGCGAGGTGCTACTTCCCGGAGGTATCGTCCTTTGCCGATGCTGAGCTGCATGCTTTCTGTGACGCAAGCGATAAGGCTTTTGCATGTGTGATTTACATGGTTCATCGTCGAAACGGTAAGTCACACGTTGCATTGGTGTATGCCAAGGCAAGAGTTGCTCCACTGAAAACATCGACGGTACCACGACTTGAACTTCAAGGGTGTGTTCTTGCAAGTCAAATGATGAAGGTAGTTCAAGACGAACTAAAAATAGAAGTGAATATGCAGTACTTCTGGACCGATTCTAAAATCTGCTTGAGTTGGTTGAAGACGAGTCAGAAGCTCACGGCATATGTTGGTTCTCGTGTCATGAAAATTAAGGAGAATGGTCATGGAGTTGATCTGTTGCATTGGGTTCCATCACAGCTGAACGTAGCTGATTTGGCTACGAAGTCCTCCAAGTTTGGTTGTATGCAGGAATGGTTGAAAGGTGCTGACTTTCTGTATCGGGATAGTGTCCATTGGCCGAACAATGAACCGCTAGAGATGTCCTCGTCTGAGTTGATAAATTTCCATATGGAAGTGATTGCTGACGTTTCCGTGGATCCGATGTGTTGTACCGTGGTTGAAGTTGAGTTAGTTGACCTTCCCGATATTGAGAGGTTCTCTGATTTTAATCGCTTGATTAGATCTACTGCGTACTACCTGAAAATGCGAAAGATTTTAGCACTGCCAAAGTGTAAAAAGCCTAGATATTTGACAATCTCCGTGAACGACATGGATGAAGCTAAGAGTGCCTGGTACAGGAAGGTACAGTCGCAAATTTTCTGTGAAGAGTTGCGCAGTCTGAAGTAGACCGGATTCGTGAAAAGCAATAGTCGTTTGAAAACATATTCGCCGTTTCTGGAAAACGGAATCATCCGTATGCGAGGTCGTGTGCAGGATGATGGAAAGTCGTTTGAAGTGAACAATCCTGTGATTCTTCCTGACAACCACCAGTTTTCAACTCTACTGATTCGTATGTACCATATCGCCAACGCACATCAAGGAATGGAAACCGTTGTTAACAATATCAAGGAACGGCACCGTATCCTGAAGATTCGCTCACAGGTAAAGAAGTACACGATGTCCTGTGTCAAGTGTCGTGAGCTTAGAGCAAAACCGACCGTTCCGCAAATGGGAAACCTACCACCGGAAAGAACAACCCCGTTCGTGTTCCCGTTTACATGTACGGGTATTGATTATTTTGGACCGTTGTCTGTAAAAGTTGGTCGTCGTGTTGAAAAGAGGTGGGTAGTATTGTTCACGTGTATGACATCAAGAGCTGTACACCTTGAAGTCGTGCCATCTTTAGACACGGGCAGCTGCATAATGGCCATCCGCTGCTTCATGTCCATCCGTGGCTTACCACAGTGCATCATGACCGACAACGGTACCAACTTTACTGGTGCAGATGCTGAACTGAAGAAACTGGTGAGAACTCTGGATCAGCCGCAGATTGAAGATTCGCTGAGCGTCAGAGGTGTTAAGTGGAAGTTTATTCCACCTGGTGCTCCTCATTTCGGAGGTTGCTGGGAACGTTTAGTACGCTCTGTGAAGACTGCCCTTCGTGCAATGTTACGGGATAGGCACCCTACGGACTTGGTGCTGCGTACTGCTTTATGCGAGGCAATGAACACCGTAAACAACAGACCTTTGACACACGTTCCGGATGACCCCCTGGACCCTGAACCGATAACTCCAAACATGTTGCTGCTTGGCCGAAACAATTCAATCCAGTTCGACCATAATTTTGATGAACGAGATCTTAACTGTCGTGCTGCCTACAAGCATTCTCAGATTTACGCGGATCGTTTCTGGCGCAGGTGGATAGCCTCGTTCCGTCCGGAGTTGATCAGAAGCCGCAAGTGGCCGGACAGCAGGAATTACCACGATTATCACGTCGGTGATCTAGTGATGATAGTGGACGAATCGCTACACCGAGGAAGCTGGCCGAAAGGAGTTGTAGAGAAGATCTACCAAGGACCGGATGGAAAGGTGAGAACAGTTGCAGTGCGGACATCAAAGTCGACCTACAAAAGACCTGTAAGCAAGGTTGTGCTGCTCCAGGCAATCAGCTCGGTTCCTGGCCCGGAGAATGTTGCTAACACTGCCAGTCCGAACTTTTCTACTCGGGTATCGCAGTCGTCGCGCCGTCAACCGTCAGGCCACCCCTGAGCGTAACCATAGCAACAAAATAACGATCGGGGCAAGCGGGTGTGAGAAAATAGTAAAAAATTTGTTCAGAGTGAAAAAGTTAGTTGACTTGTCTCCAAGTTTGTAAGAAGTTTTCCTCAATAAATTAAAAAAAAATAGTTAATCTCGTTGAAATTATTGTCCAAAAAGGTGGTCAGTTCGTGTCGTCTTTTGCTGAGGGAACCCCTGGCGAATAAACTGAAATTCCTTCCCCAACAAATAGCCTGGACACGAACTTCTCTCGACAGGTGAGAAAACACCCGGCCGTCAACGACCAGGACGATTCTTACATTTTGGTCCTTCTCTCGACAGGTGAGAAAACACCCGGCCGTCAACGACCAGGACGATTCTTACATTTTGGTCCTTCTCTCGACAGGTGAGAAAACACCCGGCCGTCAACGACCAGGACGATTCTTACAGCCGTTAATGTTCACGAAAAGTTCACTATTTTGCTATACAGAAATTCAAAACAAAAATTTTTATCTGCGGATTTGGACAGTTTTTGACCTGTTTCATACTACCGGAAGGTGTATGCTGGTCACAAATGCTGTGCCAAACTGATTTCCTACTCAATTAATCAATCTTTGATGTGAAATTCGCTAATAAACACGAGGAGCATTTCTTATAGCAAACATGCCATAACAAAATGGGCATGGTTCATTTAAGTAAACAAACTAACACTTCTTCCGACTGTGGCACCTCTCTTACTCGCCTGGCTCACGGTCTGCTAGTGCTGGTGAGTTATTTGTTCATGAAAAGTTCACTATTTTGCCATAAAAGGTGTCAACACACTACAAGGGACAGCCCTATGGGATTGTACGCAATGGTGACGTAGGACTATGTGGTCTTATATAATAAATCTTATTTGTAAACTGCAGCAGGAGCTTTTGTTTTGTGTAGGAATAGGAATTTGAGCGGGGTTCTCTCTGTTTACACTCTTTAGTATGACTATGATTGCCCTGAATAGAACCTTTTGATATGAATTTTAATTGGGACATGTTCAGAAATTTAACTCTTTTGGAAAATCTTGGTGGCTCCGAAATGGACCGATGGTAGTACAGGCTTAAAGCCTTTGGAAGATGATGATGACGTGCAAATCGGACCGGACAATCCCATATTCTTCGGATCAATGATTAGGCAGTCGCGGCCCGTCCTTTTTAGTGTTTCTCATTAAACTCCTACTCTCAATAAGTTGGTAAATCTTAGCCTTTAGGAGAAAGACGCTTAATACTTTTTTCGGCGAAATTATGATCCTGTTTCACGTCATGGTTCTTCTCTATGCCTGTTCCGATAAATTAACAATTTTATTTATTTTCTCTACTGCGCTAAATCAAACGAGTAGAAATAAGAAGGGATATCGGTTACGCGCTCGAATAATTGAAAATTCGATAAATATTTAATCGAATAGCTGGAAAATCTTTACGATTAATTGTTAATCGAATAATTCAAGAACAACATGTAAAAAGGACATACAAGCTGTTTGTAAACAAACATTCTTATGCCGTTTTCTCGCCACCCATATGACACCAACGCAAACCATCAACATCGCCGGATAAGGGAAGGTTTCCCCTTCCCGATGATGTTGTTAGTTTGCGTGGGCGACCCTGGGTTGTCGAGAAGAGGGCCTACAAAGGTTTGATTACAAAAAGCTTGTATGCCCTTTTCACATGTGGCTCTTGAATTGGACTTAAAGGCATCCCTAGAAAATAGTGTAATTTCATGTTTTTTGGTTCGAAAATATCGAACAGCAGAATTGCTACCAGCAAGTATAACTCAAGAACCAAAAGCGGTGCGATTTCATACTTCCTATTCGCACACGCCTGGAGATCGGAGGCGAATGCCACTTCGACTTATTTCGTCTACTAACGACTTTCTGATGACTGTTTTGGGGAAGCAGCAATGCTACATCGACATGTTTCGTTTACACACGATTCTCTGACGACTGTGTTGGCGAAGCAGCATATGCATGTACGTAATTGGTTAGTTATTTCAACGATTTTGGACAATGCTTGATATTTACCACTTTTTCAATATTTTCTTATTGAAACTCAACAGTCGAAAGCACTGCTATTGATGGGTAAACATATTTCTGATCGATTAGTGATAAAATTATAGAAATTGGTCCAGGTACAGCTGAGTCATTAACGGTCAAAATCTTTCATAATTTCGTTACATGTACCATTTTCCGTTTTTACTAAGTGTACCCCCATATAGAAATCACAGACGTAGTCCTACGTAAAAAATACGGGTGGATTTGGACAGATTTGGACTTGCTTCATACGACCAGAAAGCGCTGGTCACAAATGCCTTGCCACATTTATTTCCTATGCAAATAATGTGAATTTCGTGAATAAACACGAGCAGTGTTGATTAAAGCAAAACTTGCCATATACAATCGTCTTAGTGCATTTAAGTAAACAAACTAACACTTCTTCCTTCTGTGGCACCTTTGTATTAGGCGCCTAGGACTCCCACTGCTTGCCTTCGCTCACACAGCATGTAATCGCATTTTTCCATAGAAAATGTACGCTCAATCGTTCAAAACAAGGATTGCGCACCATAACGGAAGAATAAACGTGCTGACTGAGCTAATTTGACTGAGTGCTCGGCTGTCGGTGATTCGTTTACTTCCCAATCATCAGACTCTCACGAAGCAGTGAATGATGAGGCAGATTGCAGTTCATATTCATACGAAAATGACTCATTGAACCTGACTGTTTTGTGCACTGTTCTCTACTGTATCTGTCTGCTTTATGTATGTACCAACAGTTTTTGATACCTAACTAGGCGTACGCACACATTACGGTGCGTCAAGTTTGTATGGCAGGTAACAACCCCTTCCCACTGTTCTTTCGATTTGACCCTATTGTCAAATTTTATAGAACACTAGCTGAGTGTGCCCGGCCTTGCTCGGAATTCAATATTAGCTTGAGTTAATGTGCCAATTGAAAAAAAACATGCTATATTGTACGTAGCTCCCCCCCCCCCTTATCTAAGGGGCTTCCCCCTATGACCTCCACATGCCAAATTTGGTTCCATTTGCTTGATTAGGTCTCGAGTTATGCAGAAATGTCTGTTTCATTTGTACGGGAGCTTCCCCTTAAAGAGGGGGAGGGGTCTCGAACCATCATAAGAACCTTTCCCTGCCCCAAAAAAACCCTGCATACAAATTTTCAAGCCGATCGGTTCAGTAGTTTCCGAGTCTATAAGGGTCAGACAGACAGACAGAAATTCATTTTCATATATAAAGATTGTTGTGATCTTGATTTGCACCAAAATTTTAAATTTACTATTGGAAAGAAAACAATCGAATATACCTCAATATCTGCAATCTAGATTGAGCAAACCATACAACACCATTTTTTAGAAGACCGAAAATTGACTCAAACTTGAATGCTTTGCAAAAATGTATGCTCTACTGGCGTATATTATATGTTAAGCATAATTGGGCGGATCTTAAGAGGGATCCTAGAACATTTATAGAAGAACTTTGAGTCTATTTAAATTCTGGAAATTCGAAGGGAATGTTGCGAATAAAAAGAATTTCGAAAAACAGAACCAAGGGAATCTATTAAGGATACAATTCCCAACGAATTCCGAGAAGAGTTTCAAGGGAATTCTGGGAATAATTACTAAGGGCACTCGGAGAAAATTTTATAGAGAATTCAAATAAATTTTCAGAAGCACCCAGAGAAGAATTCCAAAGTAGTTCTGAGCAAAATTTCAAGGCATTTCAGGAGGATCCAAGCGAGTTGTATCGCAATTATAAAAGTCAAACTTCAGCAAATTATTGGAGAATTGGAGAAAGCTTTAAGATAGGGGGAATTACCAGTCCAAAGATTATGGTGAATTGAAAGAGTTTTTTTTTTAAGTTTACCGCAGTTATGTTTGGAACTGTTATAAATAAACATTACAAAGCAATATCAGAAAGAATGTTTATTTTAGGGAAAATCTTGTAACTAATGAAGACTTCCCACCGTATTTGGCGCGGACGTCTTCTAGCCAGCCGAGCTGCTCACCTCTTTAATAATTGGGTTCTTTAATTTTGAAAAATATATTCGTTTTTATACATCATCTTAAAGAGCTTCGTTTTCTGAGCACAGGGATATTTTTTTCGAACCCACACACTTTCATCTTGATTTTTAAATCAAGATTTAAAGCAAAATAATAACTTCACTGTTTGACACTAAACTAACAAACTGACAGCTCGCTCCCATACAAAGTAACACCGAGGGGCGCTAATAAGGTGATTTTTGCAAATGTAATCGCACTTATATAAAATAGTTCCAGTGTACCAAAATTGATGAAATTTTGGGTTTGGGTTCCATTTTTAATGCAAATTACGAATATGCATTTACCTCAATACCCTTAAAGAACCCAATTCTCAGGGTCGACCAAACGCACTAGTGGAAACTCACCTGTCCCTTTTGCTGCCGAAAGCGAACCAAGCTGAAATCAATTTTCGGTGCACACAAGAAAAGTATTCAAAGCAAAAATTTACGGAAAGCAAACTAACTAACGGTTTATTCAAATATTTAACTCCAAAATTTATTGGAAATTTACTTCGAGAATAAAAAAATAAGAACGGACTCACTGTACTCATTGCTGCTCCTGCTGCTGGTCGTGATACCGTCACCACGGTACTAGTCTATGTGCCGACTTCTAACGTCTCGACCGGTGAAGTAATGAAATGAAGTAATGAAATTGGGTTGTTAGCGGAATGCTAAGTAAAACAGCAAAAAAGGTTATCTTCCATTTAATTCCACTTAATTAATTTTGGTATCCATGACAGATACGTATTTCGACTACAATGTGCAGTCTTCATCAGTGTCATTCCCACTAAAGAATTTATCAAAATCTAACCCCCTTAAGTACTCATCCCCTAGGTAAAAAAGTCAAGATCATAGGTATAAAAATGAAACTACAATGTGTTGAATCGGAACCTACCTAACTAATAAAAACCAAAGATTTAAGTAAGCTAAAGGAGAAAAATCTATACAACTCTCTAATAAGGAAAATCCCCAAGGCTTGGTAGCCATCATAATGAAGTAATGAAGTTGGGTTGTTAGCGGAATGCTAAGTAAAACAGCAAAAAAGGTTATCTTCCATTTAATTCCACTTAATTAATTTTGGTATCCATGATAGATACGTATTTCGACTACAATGTGCAGTCTTCATCAGTGTCATTCCCACTAAAGAATTTATCAAAATCTAACCCCCTTAAGTACTCATCCCCTAGGTAAAAAAGTCAAGATCATAGGTATAAAAATGAAACTACAATGTGTTGAATCGGAACCTACCTAACTAATAAAAACCAAAGATTTAAGTAAGCTAAAGGAGAAAAATCTATACAACTCTCTAATAAGGAAAATCCCCAAAGGCTTGGTAGCCATCATAATGAAGTAATGAAATTGGGTTGTTAGCGGAATGCTAAGTAAAACAGCAAAAAAGGTTATCTTCCATTTAATTCCACTTAATTAATTTTGGTATCCATGACAGATACGTATTTCGACTACAATGTGCAGTCTTCATCAGAAGATAACCTTTTTTGCTGTTTGCTGCTACCTGTTAGTTTATGAAACAGATCCTAGAACATAGATTTTTCTCCTTAAATACGTGTGGGTGTTTTGTATAAATGATATTTCGGTTGTGTAGTGTCGGTTGTGAACCTTGAGAAATAAGAATGGTACTCATAAATATTTAGAATGATTTTATTGTCCTCTTGCTGTTTTACAAAATAATTTTGTTAAACATAACTGATCAATCAATGTGGTCGTAACGAGAATTCTCCGATACATACTGCGCTAAAATATTGCGGACTTCAAATGCAGTCCGAGGAGCATTATGTCATCGACTCGGGATCAACATATAAGCACCATTCTCCATCAACCACATTTCCTACATTGTCGATTGTATCCGTGAATCCTGGAGCAGCGTACTGATGGTTACTGTGATTTTTCAAAAAAAATATGCAACACCACAACAGCCTTAAAAATGTTTTCTGCCGACTCTGGTGACAACGGTGACTTCAAAATCCTCCACCGTGCGACAGTGATTCCGAATGTGTTTTCAATTGTGCGGCGAGCAATAGAAAGCCTTTTATTGAAATTTTCTTGAATTTGTGGTAGATTCCTCCCTGGGAAGGCCAAAGTGTGGCGCGTGGTCCGCACGTGGTGCTTGGATCTCTATGATGCAATATCCTCAGCTTGATTTTCTTTTTGTACTTCGAATGTATGGCCGAAATGATTATTAAATACGCAAAACTCAACTTTAAATATGATCATCGAACAAAGATACATCTATTGAAAAAATAGGCATGAGCACCAGGCATGGAAAATCATTTGCATTCATTTCATGCATTCATTTACATTCATTTGCCTCTAACTTTTTCCATCAATAGCATTTCACAAAATGGTATAGAGCTTTTGTAGGTTTTGTTATTAGCTACAACTTTTGTCCATAACTCAAATCTATATCCCTTATGCATCACGAACTAGAGCGGGCAGAACTTGTTACTGTTTTTCAGTGAATGTAAAATACATTCACTGAAAAACAGTAGTGGCTTCTGTTCGCTCTGGTTCGTCATGCATAAGAGTTACGGATTTGAGTTGTTAACAACAGCTGTAGTTAATAACAAAGCCTACAAAAACTCCATACAGTATTTTGCGGAATTCTGATGTTGAAAAAAGTTAGAGACAAATGAATGTAAATGAATGCACGAAATGAATGCAAATGATTTTCCATGCCTGATGAGCACCACTGACTTACATCAACGTTAAAAACAGTCGACAGGGTTTATTGGCTTCCTAATCGAATGCTTTTCCAAGTGCGCTTTCAGAATCAGCAGAAGTTTCTCGAACGTTTCTGGATTCATCCGAACTGACCTGACGAAGTACTCGGGGTCCTTTTCCTTCATCAGGGTGAAAGCTGTTTCATAGAATCCTTTCAAAAAACCATAGTTTAGCGAAAAGAAATAAATTATGATGCCTTCACTTTCCCGCACTTGATTGGACGCGAGATTGGACGGTCTCGCCCAATGAGCTGGATTACCGAGGTGAAGCAATCACTCACACAACCACTGTACGATACACGCAAGTAGTGACGTCACTACTTGCGTTTACGTTGATTTTTTGGTTTACTAATACAACCCTATTTCACGATCTGCGCCACCTCTCTCTGTACCTCATTGGGTCTCGCCCACCACCGACGATGTTGCGAGGAAATATCCTGCAGATACCTCAGTTCCCGCACATCCTGCACAATTTTCACAATATTTGCAATGCGTTCCATTTTAACATGAACACAGCACACTGGAAACACAGGAAAACTCGAGAAAACTAGTTCAAAAAACACTTTTCACAGACCGAGAAGCTCTTTGTTTACGAACGATGACAGGTGGAATAACAATCGGAACGTTTATTTACGCATGCATTGTGGGTTGAAATGGTTGAAATGCGGTAGCGGCACAGCGGTAAAAGCGGTTTAGTACAATGCGCGTTTGCCGCTGTGCCGCTGTCATTGTGTTCAGCCCTCTAGTCTTGGCTACCTAGACCAATTTCGTAGAGATGCGAGCAGTGAAATCCCCCTACAACCCCTACGCTATAGCTATGTTCGACTTTCGAAGTCTACATACGCTACTCTAGCTCCTGATTGGCCAACCGGTTTGAGGGGGGTCTCATTTGACGACACATCGACTCTTTTTGCCGTGCTGCAAGTTTTCCGATTTATATTTTTTTTCGAAAATTTGCCTGACAACCCAATTTAACACCGGCAGCCAGGAATCGTTTGAATATATTCAGCGAAGTTTTTTGATGGGAAAATACAGTGAAAAACGTTTAAATCTTGGTTGCCGAATACAGTCAATGGGTGCCGAAGCCGACATGTACCCTAGAACAACCGGAAAAATTTCCAAAACTTCGGGGGAATAAAACGGGACAAAACCGGAAAATTGATAATCGGCATTTGCTGGTCACCATGAGGATGTCTTCGAGAAAATTGCAGTGTCTATCGTTTAGAAAATATCTGTTACTTGAATCTTCTGAAGTCTACCGGAGATTCGAATATCTTTAGGTGGATTCGTCGATTTTTTGCCACCAATTATTGATGGATAGTGTTCATGGATGACAGGTTTTTATAGCACATACTAACGAAAAATATCCAAAAATTCCGTTCCACCCCGCAGGCTGTGCGGATTCCCGCCGTTCTACAGCAACCATGGGCTGGCCATTTCACCGGGAATGAAAACCCGCATCCGCACCGGTCAGTATGATTTTCCCAATCCGGAATGGAAGAACGTGAGCCAGGCGGCCAAAGATCTCATCAAGGGTATGCTCAGCGTCGAACCGGAGAAGCGTCTCACGATCGACCAGGTCATGCGGAATCCATGGGTCCGAGTATGTATCATGATGACTGGTGGGAGTTCATTGGTGTGGAAGTTTCAAATGTCAATTACTTTTATCGTACAAAGCTTTACACGGAAGTGCCCCAGACGCCACTGCATACGGGTCGAGTGCTGAAGGAGGCTGAGGAAACCTGGCCGGAAGTGCAGGAGGAAATGACACGATCGTTAGCCAATATGCGTGTGGATTATGATCAGGTAGAAAAAACTCAATGATCTAGCTTCATTCATATAGGTAGAAGAAGCATTAATTTTTTGCAATATTTCCCCATTTAAGATGCACATCAAAAACCTGGATAGCTCGAACAATGCCCTGTTGAACAAACGAAGGAAACGGGGTGAGGACAAAGTTAATAACTAAAACTAAGGCTTGCAACCGTTATGGAGCTGTTGTTACCCGCTTCCTGACACAGACGAGAAAAACACAAAAACTTAAAGAAATCAATGCTGCTGCTTATTGCGCCCGAATTGCTGCAAATTGTTGCGTTGTTCCCCCGAGTGGGAACCTCCATCTATTGTTCAACAGAGACGAGGAAGCAGATGTCGCGAGGGTGATCCGTGCTGGTTCTTCCACTTGACGTGTATTTTATTTTGTACATACTGTTGTAAGGAACCGGCACGGTGGTACCGAACCGTTGTAGTCTGTAAGGTAGAGAGTGCAAAGTGAAAATAATCTATTTATTATACCTAGACGATTGTTTGCGTAGCAAGCGATTACCCTTAAATCACCACAATACATACTAAATAGACGGAAGAGAGTGCGTGTGTAGCAAGTTTGAATGCTGTTAGGGAATGGAGAATAGTTCAAACGTTTTAACTATACATATACACGTGGTGAAGGTGGAGGCAAGGTAGAGCAAAACAAGTAGGTGTATCGAGTCGATCGGACCCAAGCCGTAATCGAGAAGGCCAAATGTTATGGAACGGTTTATAGCAAGTACTGAGCGGGAAAGGCGTGTTTATTTTTACTGTTAGTTTTACACAATACTGAGTAACGAGACAGTAGCATTTTTGTCCGAGCATTATGATGTTTTAATCAACTTGAACGTATTTTTTATTTTATTTTAATTAAAAACTTCCTAATTTTAGTTTTAGTATTTTGAAAGACGTAACAAATGTGACGTAAAGCTTATTTTATAGGCCACTTAATACGTAAGTCATTGTTTTACTTTGAATGGCGCTGAATGCGAAACAAAACATCACTTTTTATATGTGCTAAATACCGGTAAACTTTCCAACAATCAGGTGTATTTTTTTTCTACTTACCTACAGATAATCATTTTTACTCTAGCGATTTTGAGTTTTGTAGATTTACAAACTGCTGCATTTTGGACAATTTAATTCTGGAAACTTGGAAAGCTTTGTTTGAAGGAGAAACCTAGATTTTGAAAACTGCTCATGAGTTCTGGGTTGGTTTTCAACAATAGTAGGGGATGTTATATTATGGCTTCAAAACTATTAAAACTCAACAACTAACGATTTTTTTTTTCATTTGGGAAATATTTCAGATACAGTGAACTCCCGACAATTCGATATTATTGAGTTATAGAATAACAATCCCATACTAAATCGCTATCACAGTAGCCATGAAATTATGTTTTACTATTTTTCTATAACTCGATATCGAGTTAGTGGACATCGAGTTGTGGAGGGTTGTCTGTATTCTGAAAATTTGTACATCTTTAAAGTCTAACGTCCTGCGTAAATTTTAGAATACCCTTCAATAAACCTGTGCATTTCTCTAGGAACTCAATGAACTCCTTTAATATTTATTTTTTTAATTAACGCTGCAATTTTACCAAATCTGCTTCTAGAATTTCCTTAAATTCACCGAAGAATTCATAATTATTTTCAGAATTCCCTGAAGTATCTGAGCTTTTGATAATTATTTTCTGAAATTCCAAAGAAGACTTTGGGGCTTATTACGGATGTCACTTCACGGTGAAAATTTGTCACTTGTCTGTCGTCACGGTGAAGTAATTCCCATTTGATTTGTACGGCAATCACGGCTCTTATTCCGAATATCACTTTCTTATCACCGTGTAGTGACACCCGTAATAAGGCCCTTTATTTCTTCTATATAGAATCGCCGGAATTGAAGGCATTACACACTTAGATTATTTTACAGGAGTCAGTATTTTTTTACTGGGTTTTTGAATTGCTGAAAAAGTCGGTAAAAATTCCAATTCCGTAAAGGAATCAATGAAATTGACAAATTTTATTTTCTATCATTAAATGGGGTTAACAGAACTAAGTCTGCACAAGTTTGGAATAAATTTATCATTATTGAATTTTCCACAGATTTTTAAACTTTTACCAAACTGTTCCGCAATTCAAAAACCCAGTAAAACCTTAATGACTGAACTAGTGAGCCTTATTACGGGTGTCACTATACGGTGAAAAGGAAGTAATTCTCATAATAAGAGCCGTGATTGCCGTACAAATCAAATGGGAATCACTGCACCGTGACGACAAGTGACAAGTTTTCACCGTGAAGTGACATCCGTAATAAGCCCCAGTGTGTACTTTACACTGCAAAAAATCATCGCTTTAGTTATAAATCAAATTGCAAGGGATTTTTTATCCGTGCACGTAACTAAAATTCTGATAAATGAGTTCTGTGAAATCATATCAAAATTACTACAACTCGTAAGCTTACTACCATCATTCACGAGGAAAACACCAGCAGTTTGAAAATCTAGAAATCCCTAAATCATAGACGAATCAACGGAATATAACGCAAGACATAGCTAACGATGCCGACAACGAGAGAGAAAACTAGTATCAATCATAAAATAAAAGAAACAACACACAGTAGCGTCCCGAAGAGTTTAACAACTAAATCCGATAGAACCAATTCTGTCCCAACACGTCGAATGTCAATAAACTTAAAGTTAGAAGCAAACGCAAAACGGTTGTACACAAACATACATAACACGAAAATCAAATGTGAGATAGTTTTCTATATACTTAAACATAGACTATAAAAACACATGTAAGAAGACCAGCAAACCAAAATATCAAGAGTTACGCATTATTAGACGAGTGTCGTCCGATTAACTGATTATTCGGATTGCGCGATAGGAATTTGAACAAACTGAAACAAATGCACCCAGCTCAAAAGTGTTTTTTTAGTAGGAAAGATCCATCCAATTACGACACACAAAACGAGCCACAGAAAGTCTGAGCTGAAAGAGATATCAAAGTTATTGCAGAAACAAGCATTTTTTTTTTCTTTCTAAAAACCTAGTTGTTTCCGATGCATGAACAGTTAAATCAAATAGTCTTCAGCATCCAAGATTGACGTTTGAACGGATTTGACTGTTAAGGAATGGAAAATCAGTTGGTTAGGGCGCTTAGATGCGGCAAATTAACGAGGTATATGTATTTATTTCTCATTTCCTGTCCCTCATAAAACAAGAGAAGGAAGTATTTTTGTGTCGGGTATGTTTCCCAAGTTGAAGCTTTTACCCAAATTCCAGCTAACAATCTACTATATCTACTTACTTGCTTAGTTCGAAAGGCATAAACGATAAAACAAAATATGATCAAAAGTTGTAACTTGTGTTCCATCTATACTGTAAGATGCTAATCGGTAATCAAAAAAGAATCGGTAATCACGATCAAAAAAGAATGATTTTTGCGATCTAGTAGCGCAGCCTAACACCAATAAAAGTGTCATAAAGAAAACATCACAAAAGATGGTTCGATGCAAGAAAACCGACCCCCTGTCTACAATCCAGATTTATTTCCACTTTCCAATGGTTACGGAAATATATTGTTGAACCTATGAAACAAAGCTGCACGGGTTGAAAATGCTTCATTTTTGTATCAGATGACATCCCTGCATTCGGATTACAGTCCGGAAGGCATCGTACTTTAAACAACTTATAGGTCTACAATCTACTTCACTCACAAATTTCTCTTCTTCCGGCAATTAACCGTTTTGACTACCACTTTCGTGTCGGAATCGTTGCCCTCTGCCACCGAGTAGGGAAACTGTGTTAGCCCATGACAAGCTGCGCCGTATTCTCCGTCCTTCGTTGCCACCACAATACCTCCCACAAAATCGGGATAATGCTCGGCAATGCGTGCCAGCGCGGCCTCACCAGCCAACATCGGGCTCAGGCCCTGCCTCAGTCCCTCCACGGCAAGTAACGAGGGCATAAAACGCATCATAATGTCCCCATCTCCGGTGGCCGCTGCGGCTCCCACCGCCGAATCGGCGTAGGCACCGGATCCAGCGATCGGCGAATCTCCCACGCGACCGGGTATTTTGTTACGTGCTCCATTAGTCGATGTGCCGGCTACCACGTGGCCATGCGAATCGATCACGATCATTCCGATCGTATCATGATTGTAGCGACCGAATTCCGGTTCTTCTGATTTCAGTTTTTGATCGACATCAATCGTCGAAGATGACCAAAAGTTTGAGTTAACCGAATTTCCGGAAACCGGTTCATATGGACCACACGACATCGACGGCGACGGGATTACATCCTGAAATTTGTATTTTACTTATCAAAGCTAAAATCAAGTCAACCTGCATGATCTTACCGTCCAAAAGTTCGGCTGACAGTGATTGGTTTTCCACTGTTCCCACATCTCCTTGGACCGATCGGTTTCGAGCGTTTCCCGTTGAAATCCCATCATAACTGCGAAGTCGGTGGCCTGATTGCCAACCAGCAGCGTATGCTTCGTATTCTCCAGCACATGCTTCGCAACTGCAATGGCATGCTTTACTTCCCTGAGAGCGGCCACCGCTCCCACATTCATTGTGGTCCCGTCCATGATCATCGCATCCAGTGTGGTTTCGCCGGTTTCATCTGGGCTTCCACCGTAGCCGACCGTTCCATCGCACTGTTCACGTTCACATACACTGCATCCTTCCACCAGGGCATCGACAGCGCTGAACTCTCCTACCGTGAGCGATTGGTGAGCTAGATGCAAGTAAGTCCTTATTAGAATCGATTAGTTTCAATCAACGGCACATCATTACCTCTCAAAGTAGAATTCGAAAATCCCCAGGTGTTTATCACCAGTGGAAGAGCTTGTCTACTGTAGTCTGCTTGGAGAGCAACCAGTAAGAATACTATGATTGTTTTTGTTGCTTTATTCACCAGATACATCTTTTCACTTCTGTACAACTCATCAAACACAAAACACAAGCACTTTTCAAACTACACTGTCAGACCAACCTATGGACAATATCGATGGAGACAATTATCGTATTATGGCTTCATGATTGTTCAGATCATCTTGAAGCAATTGCCTGACTTTGCACACATTCTTTTAAGCTGGTCATACATTTGCTTACCAATATGTGTTATCGTCTTCGTTGTATGTATGCTAAATATAGTGGCTATTGATAATATAGGACTGAGTGGCACGCTTGGATTGATCTTGCAGGCTGATGACGACAAGCATCAGCAGACACGTTGTATCAATATGAAGTATTTTTTTTAAAATAAATTAATGTCGTCATTACTCTTAACCCTTAGCATCACAAAATATTTCCGTTGTTTTGAGATGCAAAAATGCGTTTTTGAAAAACATGCTAGAACATACAGCAAATATACTGTTACATTTTCAAAGTGTTTTTTGTTACTTCATACGTGAAGTTTACGATTTTCAGAGTTGGTTGGAAATGCTATCTAACAGGAAGCTTTAGTGTAATAATTTATTAGCTAGAGAAAGGTCTGAAGAGGGTAGGTTGATAGTTCCGCTAGAGTACGGCAGTATGGAAATTGAATAGAAACTGAAAATGATCGAAGGGTCATTAATACGGCAGTACTAGTCAAACGTCAAATATATTGTATTAACAATATAGTTCACTCTTTTGTTTTTTTTTTTGGAGACATGATTGTCGGCCAACGAGCGCTCCTTGCCTCAGAAAAGGCAACCAGTGCAGGTATTCTATAAGTTCATTCCTTTATTTAACGTCGGTCTCTGTTCCGCAATCTAGTGCCAATCACCGACGGACATCGATTGCCATCCATTGACGGCAATCGAATGTGCAGGAAGGCAGCTTCCACACCTGCGTAGGATATCGCACCCATTCAACACACATGGGCCGGGACCAACGGCTTTACTTCCCTTTCGAAGGAAGACGTGACCAGAGATTTTTATGCCTCAGAAAAATCCCACCGACCTCGGCTGGGATTGAACCCAAACCCATTGGGGTGAGAAAGTAGTCACGCATACCACTACACCACCGGCGCCGGCTTCTATAAATTTTACGAGGGATGCTTCGAAGCTACTGCAATATACTGTAACGACTGTAATCAAATGACATGACATTTTCAGTGAAGATCTTTAGTCCATAACATGCACAAGTAATTTTTAGAGAGATTAGATATTATGTGCTTTATCTCGAGTAACAGTCATGAGAACAACATGCGGTCTTAAAAAATGTCCAATTTACTAATCAAATTACTACTGAAATGAAGAGAATTGTGTTCTGTATAATAGTGACCCAGACTGAGTATTTTCGAGGGGCCGAAGTTTCATCCATTTTTAGGCCTAATATGGGAAAAAGTAGGCCGAGATTAAATCCATGCGAACGAAACAAAATTCATAAAATTTGGGGTGGTAAATTTTCTTGGAAAAGTATTCGGATTTTGTGACACATTCGACCTTTCGGGAACTTTGACCGGATTGCGTCGATGGTGGTAAGACGGAAGAGCGGCGCATGGTTCTGACGGTCTGATGCGCTTTGGGACTGATCAAAATATGGGCGATATTTATGTCAATACAGCGTTTTTCCATGATTACAGAATTGTTCGAGGGAATTAATCGGATTATCGAAATTGGGAGCGGGTATTTCGCCTACGTTTTGCAACTGGTTATTTCGCCACCAATAACACTTCTTTTTTTTTTTTTTTTTTTAACTCTTTATTTGTTCCACATTCAAAATAAATTACATTTCATTTTTAACCTAGGTGCTCCAGTTACTACAGTAACTTACCAGCCTTAATTGTTATGATATATATCTAAGTGTTTTTACATTGTTCCTGTCTTGGCAATTCAGTATTTTAAACAGGTTTTTTAAACCTGCATGTCAGTATAACAATTGATATCTTAAAACTAAAAACTAAAAACTAAAACTAAATCTTATCTAAGTATAAAGGGAATTAATCGTTGCAATTGAGGATTGTAACGATTTTTGCCGGAAATTATTAATTATTTTGTTGGACATTTGTGCTAAAGTCTCAACATTCGAAATTCTATGTACTTCGGTAGTACTGTACCAGGGAGGCAACTTCAAAATCATCTTCAGAATTTTGTTCTGAATCCTTTGAAGTGCTTATTTCCTGGTAGTGCAACAACTAGACCATATTGGCACAGCGTAAAGCATGGCCGGTCTAAAAACTTGTTTAAATATTAGAAGTTTATTCGTCAGGCAAAGTTTGGATTTCCTGTTAATAAGAGGATACAAACATTTTATATATTTGTTACATTTGGCTTGAATGCCCTCAATGTGATCTTTAAAAGTTAATTTATGGTCAAGTATTAATCCAAGATATTTCACTTGGTTTGACCAGGAAATTGGAACTCCGTTCATAGTGACTATGTGACTACACTGAAACAAATCGACATGTACCGTTTATTGGATCCATCTTATAACATAGCAATGTCAGCAGATTTATTCATTCTATGTGATGATTGATAGATTCCATTGGATTATCACTTAAAAACTATGACTGCGATATGGAATGATTTCTATCGTAATTTCACATACTAAGTACTTGATAATACTTTGCTTCGAACGTGGTTAGCGATAGGTAATAAGTATATGAATATTGTCTGATATATTTCCTGGTGAAAAACTGTTGATATGTCATGGGTGGGAACAGACATCTAGAAACTAATGGAAAATCATATAAGTTTGCACTATGAGAAAATCCAGTAAAATATACCTGTTTTCACGATGAATATTGCTCACTAAAAGGTATATCTTATAAGATAATCATGTATATTTTATTGGAGTTGCTTTTAACGATTTTTGACGTTTGTTGATATTTCGCGTGTAAACAGACATGTAGAAACTATTGGACAGTCATTTAACTTTGCAGAATAGGAAAACATGTATATCTCATTGGAATAGCTTCCTTTGATTTTTGACGTTTAAAGATTGTAAACAGATCTATCCCAATCATTATATAATCATATAGATTTGCCTTTTAAGAAATCCAACAGCAAACATTTGTTTTGGCATGGGTTTCTGGGGTGAATATCGCTCTCAATAAAATACATCTTTCATGATTGTTCTTTATAAATTATTGAAACAATTTTCAACGATGTTATCTACTTATCTACTAATACTTTTACTCATTAAAATGATAAGTCGAATTAAATATTGCTAACAACAATGATATTGTATTGAATAATCTTTGTTTGTTATTGTTCCATAAGATAAGGGGTTCCGGAAAAGAATGTATCGATATTGAAAAAAAAAATGATTTTACTGTAATATTTACTTTGCCAAGATTCTAATAGTACGCCTTCTATATGGCTAATTCAGATTCCAGGACAATTCAAGAACCAGTTCCATGAACTTATATAATGTAGTCGTTGTTTTATTGCACACAGGAGCATTAAGAAAGATGTGAATACACGACACAACCGAAACGGAGCATATATTGGTCAGTGTTATTTTTCTTCACTCTAGCAAAACGAGCATAACGTTGCACTACATTCCATGTCGGGAGAGCTGTTCTTACTTCATGCTATTTGAACGAGCTCAATCTTGAAGTAAGTCGTGGACCAATGAAATCGAGCGCAGACACCGAAAGCATCACACCTTAACAGTCCTTGATCGAATCCCAAATCAGCTACAATAAAAAAAAAAAAAAAAAAAGGCACAACTGTGAAAGCTCCCACTGCCTGATGTTTATTTTTCGATTTATTTTTAGAAATCGATTAAATATATGTGTCAAAAGAAGAAGTAAATTTCATGTGATTTTCACACAAACTTTACTTCGATTGATTTATGGCACATATATTATATTGTGGTGAAAAGTGTAGCTTATGCTTATGGGTTTCAAATCCATTTCAGTTAATTATTATAATTTGATCGATTTTCATTTATCATACGACGATCATATAAAAGTTACCAAATTATCAGCATTGTAAATGTATCAGATATTCATATAGAATTTACCTGGCACATTTTCAATCATATAATTTTCAATGGATTATCTTATAGCGCAAATTTATAAGATTTCCACATAACAGGAATATGTCATATTGGTTCAGTGTACTACTAGGTTTCAAAAAGGAAGCCCTGGGCTTATGTGGAAATATTATAAGTTGAGTTTTGGAAGCGTTGGGAGAAATCTTCCATTTTTGTAAATAAGAAGAGAAAATATCTAAACTTTTCTGAAGTCTGCTGCAAATAACACGAAGACTTCTTCCTTTAGCGGAAATGCCTGTGTCATCAGCGAACAAAGATTTGTGGCAACCCTGATGCAAATCAGGGAGGTCCGAAGTGAAAATGTTATACAATATAGACCCAAGAATGCTACCCTGAGGAACTCCTGCTCTAACAGGTAGTCGATTAGATTTGGAATTTTGATAATTTACCTGCAGAGTTCTGTCAGTTAAATAATTTTGAACTAATTTCATAATATAAAGTGGAAAATTAAACTTTTTCAATTTAGCAATCAAACCTTCATGCCAAACACTGTCGAATGCTTTTTCTATGTCTAGAAGAGCAACTCCAGTTGAGTGGCCTTCAGATTTGTTTGAACGAATTAAATTGGTAACTCTCAAGAGTTGATGAGTAGTTGAATGCCCATGGCGAAATCCAAACTGCTCATCTGCAAAAATTGAGTTCGTATTGATGTGAAGCATCATTCTATTCAAAATTATTTTTTCAAAAAGTTTACTTATTGAAGAAAGCAAACTTATTGGACGGTAGCTAGAAGCTTCAGCTGGATTTTTATCCGGCTTCAAAATTGGAACAACTTTTGCATTTTTCCATTTATCAGGAAAGTATGCCAAATGGAAACATCTGTTAAATAATTTTACCAGGAAAGACAAGGTACTCTCTGGGAGTTTTTTGATGAGGATATAGAAAATTCCATCATCACCTGGAGCTTTCATATTTTGAAATTTTTTAGTTATAGACCTTACTTCGTCCAAATCAGTCCCCCAGGAATCATCAAAAATATTTTCCCGAGAGAAAATATTCCGAAAATTCCGAGCAACCTGATTCTCAATAGGACTAGTAAGACCCAAACTGAAATTATGCGAACTCTCGAATTGCTTAGCAAGTTTCTGAGCTTTTTCCA